CACTAGTAGTGTTGCCAGATTTATTATTTATCTTTAAATATAAAAATATGACTCAGGAAAATATTAATGTAATTATTGCATCAGTGTTTATCAATTGAATTGTTGAAATTGGCAATACTGTTTATAATTCAATGTTGCCAAGTTTCTATATTTTATTCACATTTGGGTTGGTAACACTATCGTTATGTAACAAAAACCACGGTTTTGATTGGAATTTTAATTTTTAACGTTTGCCAATTTGACTTACATAAATTGTTTTTTTTTTTTGACAAAATGTTTTCTGCCAAAAACGCCATACAGTAAACAAAAAAAAAAGAAGAATCTATAAATGTGTCAATTATTGTTGTAACAAGAGCCATATACAATCAAAATTAAAAAAAAGAAGAATTTGTACTTATTTCCATGGCCTACTACTACGCATTGAAATTAACGACAAAATAAATACGAAAGATAAAATTCAAATTTAAACGTGAAAAGGGAGGACAGGAAAACGCGATAAGCTGAAATGTAAATCTGATTGTCTTTTTTTTTGCTTTCGAACAAAAGTCAAATTATTTTCCCGCTCACCGATTAAAATTCTTCTTTCTTTTTTTTAAGAAAAATGACTCCTGAAATTCTGGTCCGTATGTATACACGATCAAAGGCGCTTTGATGCATAATGCATACAAAGGAACGTATTTCAACAATTTGAGGTAAAATTATGTTGCGGTTAATATTATGCTGATTTTTTCAAAATTTACTGTACAAAAATCCAGGTTCGAACTCATTCAATTATGGCCTACTTTGTCATGTGACTTGACAAAGAAAAATTTTCGATTGACGTTTCGCATCAAAACCAATAAAATTTACAGATGCTTTAATCTAATACAAAATGCACATATTGCTGCATTAATGGGAGACGCTAGGCAATTTATTAGGTTAGCAGAGAGAGATAGAGAGAATGTTTGTTCTATAAACAAGCATTTCGACTAATTGATCTTGGTAATTAACGTTTGGAGCTAAATCGATGATTTTATGTGGAATAAATTGTTAATTTCCAATCTTGTATTAAAATACCTCAATAAATACAAGTTGGCAACATTGCAATACTAATTCAGACATCAATAAAATAAAAATGAACAAGTCTGCAATTACTCGATCGGAACACTGACGTGTAAATTTCTCGTGAGTAGTATACCAATGACGTCATACAAATTATTAGGCAACTTCGTTTTTTAAACAACTTTGATCGTTGACATGAAAATCTGATACCACCTAAGCATACCAATGACGTCATAAAAGTTACTAAGCAACCTCCTCTTTTAAACAGCCTTTCGTACTTTAGGCCTCAAGCGCTGATAAATTATGACGTCACATTCCCTTCGACATTTCTGTCCTATTTCCCGAAATTTACCCTCAAACTGCCGTTATAGATGTTTACACATCAAAACTGGATGAAAAGGAATTTTTTTTATTGAAATTTAATAATCAATGTTTGTGAAACAAAAAATCAGTGCAGTGTTGCCAAGCCTGAAAAATAATTCTTATTCTGAATTTGAAACTTGAAACAATTATGGTCATACGACGATTCGGCTAGTAGGCCATGGAAATGAATTTGAACTTCTTTTTTCTCATTGCGGGTGGCATTTGCTACTATGCAACAATCTAATGGGCCAAATTTGATACCATAACTCCTATAGATTTTTTTTTTCGTTGATTTTTTGCCAAGTGTCACTGAATCTAGCAGCACTTATTGTGATGCTTGTCATATTTTGTTTATGCATCCCAACAGAGGGCTCGGGTTGGTTTGAAATGTCATTGGTTGGCTAGTGAATGGAAAAAAAAATATCTGGCAACAGTGTGTGTTAATAAAATACAATTATTACAAGAGCAATGTTGCCAGATTTTCTTTTATATTTAAGTTATAGCACCGCAATAGGGAAAAATAGTGGAGAATATTTCAAAAAGTTTGAATCAAATTTCAGTTGAAACTAAAAAAAAAAACACAAGTTGTCAACATTGCAACACTGATTCAGACTAATGAAAAAAATGAGCAAGCCTGCAAGTACTTGAGACACTGATGTGTAAACATCTTGTGAGCGGCACACCAATGACGTCATAGAAATTACTTCGCAACCTCTTTTTTTTAAACGCAGCTCTAATTATTGACTTGAAACCTAATGCCATCTTGCATACCAATGACATCACAAAAGTTACAAAGCAACCTTCTCTTTTAAATAGCCTTGATCATTGGTTTGAAAATCTAATGGCACCTTATGCCGCCAGCGCTGAAGTAGCTGCGTATGGATTATGACGTCATGTTTCCTTCCACAAGTCCGAAATTTACCCTCAAACTGCCGGTATAAATGTTTACACATCAAAACTTAATAAAAAGGAGTTTTTTTTTTATTGAAATTCATTAATCAATGTTAATGAAACAAAATTCAGTGCAGTGTTGCCAAGCCTAAAAAATAATTCTTATTTTGAATTTGAAACTTGAAACAATTATGGTCATACGACGGTTTGGCCAGTAGGCCCTGGAAATGAATTTGAACCATTCTTCTTTTTTCTGATTGGGTGGTATTTGCTACTATTCAATAATCTAGTGAGCCACATTTGGTTCCATAACTCCTATAGAATTCTCATTTTTTCTGTGGTTTGTTGCCAAGTGTCACTGCATCTAGCAGCTTATTGTCATTCTTGTTACATTTTGTTTGTGCATGTAAATAGAAAACATCTCAACACAGGGCGCGGGTTAGTTTAAAATGTCATTGGTTGGCTAGTAAATGAAAAAAAAAATATGGCAACAGTGTGCGTCGATAATAAAAAAACAATTATTACAAAAGCAATGTTGTCAGATTTTTTTTTTATATTTGAGTTATAGCGCCGCAATGGGGAAAAATAGTGGACGATATTTCAAAAAATGTCTTCAATTATCAGTTAGAACTAAAAAAAAAACACGACTTGGCAACATTGCAACACTCACTCAGACATTAATAAAGAAAAATATGCGCGAGCCTGCAAGTACTCGAGACACTGATGTGTAAATATCTCGTAAGCGGCATACCAGTGACGTCATGAAAATTATTAGGCAACTTCGTTTTTTGAACAGCTTTAATCCTGACATGAAAATCTACAGTGACTCTATAACCCACAGTACAGTGACTCTATAACCCAAAGTGGCGACAATTGCTGTCTCATTTTTGATTGGTTCTAAAATCCCATATATTTATACTGAAAACACCGCCATCTTGTTCCCAACCCCTTGTTAGTTTTAAATATGAATATATGGGATTAAGGTGAACATCCATCAAAATCATGGAAAACAACGTATTTGATGGACCTAATAATGGTCATCAAATACGTTGATTCCAATTTTTTAATGATAGATGTCCATTTAACTCCTATATATTAATATTTAAAAGTAACAAGCGGTTGGGAACAAGATGGCGGCCGGACCTCTATTGTCGCCACTGTATGTAAAGGTTTATTTAGCCACTGTAATGAAAATCTAATGCCACCTTACATAATAATGATGTCATAGAAATTATCACGCAACCTCTACTTTTAAACAACTTTAATCAGTAATTTGAAAATCTAATGTCATCTTAGGCCGCAAGCGCTGGAGTAGTTTGCGCACCTATGCTATGACGTCACATCCCTTTTCACACTTTCCGTTCCATTTCTCGAACCTCAAACGGCCAGTATAGATGCGTTTACACATCATAAACAGAAAATTCGCATATATAATTACAATTGGATGGAAATGAGTCTTGTGGCTTACGCCAAGGTACTGAATTTTTGGTAATTTTCAAAGAAAATCTGATTTTTCATCGAGAACAATGAAAATTTTCTATTAGCTAAATTTACGTTTCGACAACATCAAAGTAGGCTTTGGACGGCCATTTCAAAATGAAACAAACCAACGACCTGTCAAAACATAAATTTAATATGGCGGCAACGGTCAAACATCTGTGATGTGTGTTTGTTTTTTGTTTATACAATACGAAAATATGTAAATTATCCTTTTTGAGCAATAGAAAATCCCTTTAAAAATTCACAAATTATACACAGAGAACACGTTTCATTGTTTGACCATAGCCGCCACATTTGGTTTTGATATTTCTATATAGAAACACACATTGTAGGTGTTTGACCGTTGCCGCCATATTGAATTGATGTTTTGACAAGTCGGTGGATCGTCCTATTGTGTTTTGGTCGGAAAATGTTTCTTGTGATACGAAGAATTGGATTTTCTATAATTGACACGTTAATATTCAAATAATATTCCCATGGTAAGTGGCAATTGTCATATTAGCTACAGTAACGACAATTGTCGTTCTATTTTTGAAATCCTATATGTTTATATTGAAAATTGGCAAGAATATGGCGGCGGGGGCTTGGCTCACTTTTATATTCACCAATAAAATATTCAAAATTAGCAAAAATATGGCGACGGGACCTCTATTGTCGCCACTGTGTAAAGGTGTATTGAGTCCCTGTAATATCAGCTAACTTCACCTTTCGAAATAAACATCAAAGTAGGCCTTGGGCGGCCATTTTAAAATTGTATTTTTCAACAAAAATGGCCGCAGTAGTATTTTGCTCTGGTTTTTCTCGTTTTCAGTGCGGAAAAGTGTTTTTTAGTGTGAGGTATCGAATTTTTCATAATTGGCAAGTTGATTTTTGAATAAAATGCCATTTTTCTTAGCAAAACCTTCATGGTAAGTTAATTTTCCCAAATCATGTTTTGTCTATTCTCAGCTCTTGAATTTGTCTCAATAAAGAAAATTCAAGAGCCTAGAATAGAAAAAATATGAATATTCACATTTTTCAATTCATCCAAAATGATGCTTTCTCTTTCTCACTCATTCATATTGAGTTCGCTTTTAATTAATAATAAGTTATAATCTTTTGTTTCAATTGACATTTGTAACAATGTCAAAATTAAGACATGAAGTTTGCCTATAGTAGGAAATGTAACTCATCTGTCAAAAAATGCTTATGAAAAATAAAACTCAATTTTGTTTCATTGTTTATTGACCAGTCAGGCTCCTAAAAAACAAACAACAGCTTAGTCAAAGAGCGAGAATCCCATGTCGTCATCTTCTTCTTCAGACTCATCTTTTTTCTCTTCTTTTTTAGCAGCTGGAGCTGCGGCAGCCGCAGCTGCAACCGGAGCGGCCACAGCAGCAAACTTAGATGGATCCTAAACAAACAAAAGAAAATTTTAAATTATAAGTTTTTTATGTTATACATACATATTTAGGATGACATCATCGAACAAGGACAATGTTGTCAACGCCTATATTTTCTCTTATGTCATTGTGTCAATAATTCTATATGTGACGTCATCCTAAATATAGTAAAAATTTTATAGTTTTTGATATTACCTTGATGAATTCCTTGATGGTATTGGCCTCTTTGAATTCAATGTCGGTAACGGCAGCGATGGCCAGCAAGTTCTTGAACCCGTTGGCAATGCTATGGGGCGCCGAAGCGACTGTCGGGTATCCAATTGTCAAACATACAGCGGCCAAGTTGGCAACTCCGGCCAAAAATCTTTGACGCAAGTCTTCCGGTTTGATGTCCAAAATTGCAGGTGCGAAAATAGTACCAGAGTCGTAGACTTGTTCGACAATAAGACCATAGGAAAATGGAGAGATGTTTAACATGTTTAGAAGGGTGGCTTCAGAGGCACCCACTTTGTCGCCGGGTTTGAGGATGTTGACGTCATTGACGATTTCGATTGTTCCTTTAGGAAATTTGATTATTAATTATCCTAGTTTGGTGTCAAAACATTTTTGAGTTTTTTTGGAAAAAAAAATCAGGTAAAGTTTGTCCACATTTTAGTGCAACTAGTTGGGGGTTCTGCTATTTCTAGCTCCAACTAGTGTACACATTGAGAGACGAAAAATAATGTCATCATTTTAAATGTCAAAAGTCAACTAATTGACAAGTGAAGTGACAATTCTTACCTTTTGAAATCTTGGTTGGAATACTCAAAGCCTGGAAGAAAGATGTTTTTTCTGGTGGCAACCCTGTATTTTGAGCTGGGATGACAACGGACAAAGGTGCGATGGCTCCGGCACGCGCAGGCGCCCTGACTTTGTTCTCGAGCAGTTTGTCACGGACTTCGACGAGGTCTCCACGGGTGAAGACAAAGCCGACGTTGCCTCTGATGTGCGGCAACAGACGTTCCAGGCACGGGTTGGCTTCCAGGTGGCCCTTGATAGCTTTGCGCATCATGGTATTTTTGCCCATGAGTACGACAGCAGCGCCACGTAAAGAAATACGGATCTGTTGCATTTGTTTCGAGCCGACATTGTCAGCGCCCACAATGAAACACTTGGGGTATTCTTCCAAGAGTTGCTAAATGACAGAAAAAAATCTAATTTTTTGTCTATTCCAGGCTCTTGTCAAAATAGGCCACTTTCACGGGATTATGACGTCAGAGCCCGTAAAAATCAATAGAAATGCGAGGATGCCAAATTTCTCATTAGTACTTGTCCTTGACTACTCAATAAGAAAATAAAGGATAGGTATAATAAATATGGCATCCATGCTATCAAAAAATTGAATGGAAATTTTTGATTTCTAATATGGCAACAAAGCACATAAATATTGGCTTTAGCTAGTGAGACAGGGGATTTCCGTAAGGTGAATTTTTGTTTACTAATTTGTTCAAACACGTAAAAGTGGCCCATTTTGAAACAAAAATAATAGCGCTTTCGATTTTTGCCCCAAAACTGCTCTAGATTTGATCAAAAACCGACCTAGAACATGTTCGGCTTCAAACAGAGCGTGTTCGATTTGAGCAAAAACTGCTCTCAAATCTTGCACCGAACACTCTTTTTTGCTGTATCAAATTCGATAAATCAAAACAATCCAACGACCTGTGAAATTCAATATGGCGGCAAAGGTCAAACAAACATCACTGTTTGTTAGTTTGGGTTACTTTGTAAGAATTATCCTTCTTTCAGAAGCAATATAATCAGAAGGAAACTGAAATCCTTTGTGCCAATTACATTGTTTGACCATGGCCGCCATATAGATTGAAATTCCTCATATGACGATTTCAAGTTTCCCAAAGTTGATAGGCCGTCTAATAATGGGAAACAGATGACGTCATCAGAAAGATTCTATGGAAATTTTTATGCGGGTACCCAAAATGACTTCATAAAAGTTATTGGACAGCCTACCTCTTTCAAAAAAAATTAATTCCAACTACATAATTCAAGATGGCGACGTGGGCATAACAAACTTGACGGCCGTGAAAATATTTACTTTCAATTAATTGGAATTGAATGTAAACGTAGCTTGTGTACAGTTGTTAAGTTTGTTGTACTCGATGATAATACCCATGGCGCCATATTGAATTAAGAGAGCGTCGAATCGCCTCAAAGTTGTTTGAAAAAGGTAGGTTGCCTGTGTAATCACCGCCATATTGATGTGTCACCATTTCCAACCACATAATTAAATTATTGTCAGCTGTTTAAGACAATAAGATGTTGTCTACACGTCACAATTGATGATTTGGCGTTGGAGGGAAAGGGGAGGAGGGGCGAATTTGTTACACTCAGGCCTCACTAGGATAGACCATTCTGTAGTTGTAGTATGTATCATCCTTCATAACATAACCTTTATGACGTCATCTCGAGTGTTTAAGCATATTGGGTTTGTTCGGACATTCTGAAATGAACTGCACTTGTGCATTTGTTCTTATTGAACATATAGAGGGTTGTCGTTATATATGAAAACAGTCTGATATTTCAGAACCGGCTTGAAAAAAAATTACAATATTTGGGAATGCCCGATTCAATAGTGGTATTTGCAATGTTGCCAAGCTTGCCGTTTCTAAGATGTCGTATGTAACTTGATTTTTTTAAATGGATGCCCTTCTTTATTTTTATTGTAATTAATTCAGCGTGTCAACATTACTAAAACCCTTAAATACCTAAACTCCATTTAACTTGGTTTTTGGAATATGGCAACACAGATTTTTTGTTAAAATGTATGGAAACAGTTTCGTATTTCAGAAAGGACTTTAGCAAAATGTACAACATTCTTAGGAATGCCCGATTCAACGGTCGTATTTGCAATGTTGTCAAGTTTACCGTTTCTAAGATGCCATATGTAACTGCCTATATGGGCATCTATTTAAAAAAAAAAATCAAGTTACATACGGCATCTTATAAACGGTAAACTTGGCAACATTGCAAATACCACCATTGAATCGGGCATTTCCAAAATTTCCCAGGTAGGGAATATTATACATTTTGCCAAAGTCTTTTCTGAAATACAAGACTGTTTCCATACATTTTAACAAAAAATCTGTGTTGCCATATTTCATAAGCCAAGTAAAATGGAGTTTTGGTATTTAGGGGTTTTAGTAATGTTGGCACGCTAAATTAATTACAATAAAAATAAAGACGGTTATCCATTTAAAAAAATCAAGTTACATACGACATTTTAGAAACGGTAAACTTGGCAACATTGCAAATACCACTATTGAATCGGGCATTCCGAAAAACCCCCAGGTAGGAAATATTGTAATTTTTTTTTCGAGCCGGTTCTGAAATATAACATAACGAGAACCCTGTATAAACAAATGCGCAAACGTAGTTCAATTCAGAACTGATTCTAAACTAAGTCCGAATACACCTATTGCTAAATTCCATTAGATTCTCCTGATGACGTCATTTATTTGCAATTACCAGACCAAGGTTCCTAAAGTCAATGGTAATAAATTAACCTCTCTTAAATAACCTTAACTGAATTTTTGCGACAAACTACTTCCATGATTTCATGAACACAAACGCTTTCGTGAGAAGCTATGACGTCATATTGAACGTAGTTCACCAGAAGTATGGATGCAGCTTCTACATGACGTCATAAGATGAACAATGGTTCGTCCATGACATTTGTCGCGAAAGTTCAGTTCTTGTTACTTGATAACCTATAACTTTAGGAACCTTGAATTGAAAGTAGGCAATTGGAATCAATTGATAATTCAAGATGACGACGTGGGCATCGGCATAACAAACTTGCCGATCGTGAAGGTATCTTTGCATTCAATGTCAATTGATTGGAAACTTAGCTTGTGTACAGTTGTCAAGTTTGTTATACCCATGACGCCATATTGAATTGACAAAACGTTGAATCGCCCCAAGGTTGTTTGAGAGAGGTAGGTTGTCTGATAACTTTATGACGTCATCTGGGGTGCCTCAACATAATACAAATCTCCACAAGTTACCCCAGATGCGTTATCAAGCTACCCATGATTAGGCAACTAATTAACTTTAGAAACCTTGAGTTGCTTGATAACTTTTATGACGTCATCTCGGGTGCTCAAATTTATTAGGTTTGTTCGGACGTTCTGAATTTAACTGCGCTTGCGCATTTGTTCTTATCGAACATATACATATAAACAAATACGCAAGTGCAATTCAAAATTCTAAACTAAGTCCGAACACACCTATTGCAAAACTCCATTAGGTGCTCCTAATGACGTCATCTATTTGCCATTACCAGACCAAGGTACTCAAAGTTAATGGTAATAAATTAACCTCTCTCAAACAATCCTGTTACCAGACAACCTATAACTTTAGGAACTTTGGATTCAAAGTAGGCAATTCAAATCAGCTGATAATTCAAGATGGCGACGTGGGCAAAACAAACTTAACAATTGTGAAGATGTTTTTACATTCAATACCAATTTAAATGTTAACGTGCCTTTACAGTTATCAGGTGCATTATTCCCACGGCACCATATTGAATTGGAAAAACGTTAAATCGACCCAAAGTACACTAATGGCGTTTCCGATTGGTAGATTCAGTGCGCAGTGAGTGTATTTGCATCCTTTTAATCAATCTGTAGAAGAAAAAGATAGAAATAGAAAAAATTGCACTAGTTCCGCACTAGATGTACCAATCGGAAATGCCATAAGTTTGAACTATAATCACCCTCGTAGCACGTCCACAGAGATCTGTGACGTCACCGAAGAGACTGGGAGCAGTAAACCGAAAACGCTGTTACAGTGCAAAATACCAAAAAAAAGTGCACAATAAAATCGAAATCGCTATTAATTGGAGTAACCTGAACCATTACTTACGATGAGTTTGGTGAAATAGTTGGATTTCCAAGTAGCCTTGTCCTCCCTACCCATCTTGATGCGTGGTTAGGGACTCTTTGAAGAATTTAAGAACTGAAAAGAAGTCATGCAAAAGAAAATTTAGAATAGTTATTGGCCACATTCACTAGCACTCAACATGTTGAGTGATTATTAATAAGAGGATGTTCCAACAAGTGTAGAGCAGCAATTTTCATCTATTTTCAACAAAGCCGCTGACTAATAGGGAATTCCATTGCAAGGGTTAGAGCACATTGAGTGTATTCGTGTCTCTTTCTAGCAGCTTGTATAAGAAAGAAATAAAAATACATTTTTTCTGCACTGATTCTACCAATAATTGAATTCGCTATAAATAATCACTCAACATGTTGAGTGTTGGTAAACGAAGACCTTTCAACATTAAAGTATGGTTATGTTTATCACCACAAAACCATTATTTTTTTAGGGAAAAATCATCGATTTTCCAAAAATACAATCAAAATCTAATAAAACAGGCCCTAATCTATAAGAAAATGCAAAAATATTTGAAAAATCTTTAAGGATTACCAAGATAAAAGAAAATTAAATTTTGGAAAATTCCGACTTACCTCGGCAAAAAACACAAGCGCAATGAAAGAGGAATGTTTTGGCAGATGTCAATACAAGATGGTGGAAATTTGACAGAACTAGCGCCATCTCTGAGCCGCTTTCGGGTGCCATTCTTTGAGCACTCCCGAGTTACTCCGAAGTACTCCAACTACAGTTTGACCTGTTTGGTTTTAAGCGTTCGAGAGCAAAACGCATGGAGTATGACAGGTGTGAAGTGTTCTAGGAGCTCCATACTCTGCACCCGAAAGTAGCTATGAATGATGTTGCGATAAACTATTGGAAAATTGTTTATTTTTGTATAAATTGAACATTTCAGGGTATCAATTGATTAAAATAATAAATTAAATAATCCATTAAAATTGATTATTCTGTTGTGCTTTGTTTAGTTGCTAATAGATGACGCCATAATAAAACTGTCAATAAAAACAAGTTTTCGTATTGGTGCAACACTGTTTGCTCCGAGTGCAAGTTTTGTTCTATTTTCAATAACAGTTTGCAGAAATCGAACAACGCAAACAAGGTTAGAAACGATAAGTTGTTTACGTCATCACTGATACTTTGACGAGCCGCAAGCGAGTAGTGTAACTATCCAACTGAGTAATAGCCATTATCCACGAGTAGAATACTATATGTTTTCTATGAATAATAGATAATAGGCACAGTTTTTTATGTAATTTTCATAACAAAATTAATTGATAATTCTGACAGCTGGAAGACAAAGTGAGGTTGGGTTAGCATTTGTTTAAATCAGCTGTCAAAGTGCAAGGACATTTACACTACTCGCCTGCGGCTCGTCAAAGTATCAGTGATGACGTAAACATACTATTACAATCCTCGCTTTTAAACAACCACAATTGCCAGGATTCAATATGGCGACAAAGGTAAAGAAATTGTGATGTTCAAAACGCGTTTAACAAAAATGTACACTTTGTTTCACGAGGGTTTATACTTTTGACATAATTTGCCTTCCTTATTTAACAAATAGAAATTGATTGAAACAAATCAATGACGTCAAAAACATTTGTCGGTTCTTAAAACAGAAGTCATTTATTTCAATTTGTCAAAAAAAATTGATGACGTCTTCGATGTCAAAAGTATAAACCCTCGTGAAACAAACTTTACAATATCTTTTACCTGTGAATTTTCATGAAATGTCTAATTCAATGGTGGTATTTGCAATGTTGTCAATTTTACCATTTTTAAGATACCGTTAAACTTTTGAACGTCAAACCTACATATGACTTGGTTTTTAAAATACGGCAACACTGTCTTCCTCATTTTTTGTACATTTCTTCTCTTAGGTAATTCTCAGTTTCACTGTCTCAATTTTTGTCTATTTCCGGCTTTTGAATTTCCGTTTTCTCTGGATAAAGAATGGGCTTGTTTGGTAATAGCAAACAGATGACGTGATTAGGTGGTTCTTATGATGATTTGCATTAACAGATTACGTCATAAAATTAAATTTGCAACCTCCCTCTTTTACACCACAACCTTGATTCAAACCACAAATGTCAGGATTCAATATGGCGGCAAGGGTCAAAAATTTGTAATCTAATGTTCAGAAAAAAAAAATGCAATATTTTTTACCTAAGAATTTTTTATGGAATGCCCGATACAAAAGTGGTATCTACAATGTTGCCAAGTTTACCGTTTTTATAATATCGTTATGTTAAAAAATATTATTTAATTTTGAAATTTAGTGGAATCATGATAGTTAGTGCTGTAAACACCATACGTCAAAGTAACAAGAAGGCGAGCAACTACACACTGCCTACGTCATCACTGGTATTTCCAATTCAATGGTGGTATTTGCAATGTTGCGACTTTTACCGTTAAACCTACATTTGACTTTGTTTGTGAACATACCTTCACGGTCGTCATTATGACCACGTTGCCATCTTGAATTACCAGGTGATTCGAATTGTATAATTAAAATTCAATCGAGATTTCGGCGACGTTGTCAATATTATTGGCAAAATTTTAATTACTTGTTTGGTAATGGCAAACGGTTGACGTCATCAGGTGGTTCTTATGAAAATTTGCATTATCTTTAGACATATAGATGACGTCATAAAAGCTATCAGGCAACGTTTCTTTTTCAACCCACAATCTTGATCCAAACCACATACGCCAGGATTCAATATGACGGCAAGGGTCAAGAATTTGTAATATACAATATTTTTTACCTGAGAATTTTTTATGGAATGCCCGATTCAAAAGTGGTATTTGCAATGTTGTCAAGTTTTCTGTTTCTATGATATCGTTATGTTAAAAAATATTATTTAATTTTGAAATTTACTGGAATCATGATAGTTACTGCTGTAAACACCATACGTCAAAGTAACAAGAAGGCGAGCAACTACACACTGCCTACGTCATCATTGGTATTCCCAATTCAATGGTGTTATTTGCAATGTTGCGACTTTTACCGTTTCTAAAATACCGTTAAACCTTTAAACGTTAAACCTACATTTGACTTTGTTTGTGAACATACCTTCACGGTCGTCATTATGACCACGTTGCCATCTTGAATTACCAGGTGATTCGAATTGTATAATTAAAATTCAATCGAGATTTCGGCGACGTTGTCAATATTATTGGCAAAATTTTAATTACTTGTTTGGTAATGGCAAACGGTTGACGTCATCAGGTGGTTCTTATGAAAATTTGCATTATCTTTAGACATATAGATGACGTCATAAAAGCTATCAGGCAACGTTTCTTTTTCAACCCACAATCTTGATCCAAACCACATACGCCAGGATTCAATATGACGGCAAGGGTCAAGAATTTGTAATATACAATATTTTTTACCTGAGAATTTTTTATGGAATGCCCGATTCAAAAGTGGTATTTGCAATGTTGTCAAGTTTTCTGTTTCTATGATATCGTTATGTTAAAAAATATTATTTAATTTTGAAATTTAGTGGAATCATGATAGTTAGTGCTGTAAACACCATACGTCAAAGTAACAAGAAGGCGAGCAACTACACACTGCCTACGTCATCACTGGTATTCCCAATTCAATGGTGTTATTTGCAATGTTGCGACTTTTACCGTTTCTAAAATACCGTTAAACCTTTAAACGTTAAACCTACATTTGACTTTGTTTGTGAACTTCACGGTCGTCATTATGACCACGTTGCCATCTTGAATTACCAGGTGATTCGAATTGTATAATTAAAATTCAATCGAGATTTCGGCGACGTTGTCAATATTATTGGCAAAATTTTAATTGCTTGTTTGGTAATGGCAAACGGTTGACGTCATCAGGTGGTTCTTATGAAAATTTACATTATCTTTAGACATATAGATGACGTCATAAAAGCTATCAGGCAACGTTTCTTTTTCGACCCACAATCTTGATCCAAACCACATACGCCAGGATTCAATATGACGGCAAGGGTCAAGAATTTGTAATATACAATATTTTTTACCTGAGAATTTTTTATGGAATGCCCGATTCAAAAGTGGTATTTGCAATGTTGTCAAGTTTTCTGTTTCTATGATATCGTTACGTTAAAAAATATTATTTAATTTTGAAATCTAGCGCCTGTACTGCAAACACCGTACGTTGAGGCAACAAAAAGGCGAGCAACGACACGCTGCTACGTCATCACTGGTACTTTGTCGTGGTGGAAATCGTGAGATTCGATCTACACAGGCCTTATAAAAATATGCTATCCTGTATAGTGTGTAATATCTTTGATCGTTTAATGTTTTTTGGGGATTTCAAATCTTTTCACTATTAGAAACAAGTTACGTGAAAGTTCATTCTGTATCCAGTTCATGACGTCATAATAAAAATCGCGTTTTGTTTATTAAAGTTTGTATGCTCCGAAATCCTGTACCGATACGTACTGTAGTTTGGGACAGCGTACACGATATTCACTGGCTGAGGGCCGTAATTTAGAAGTTTCAAATCTATTTTTGACCCATTATAGGATACAAGTTAGCTGTAACCAAAACACCTACTGAATGTGACGTCATATACTTCAACAACCAATAATGAAATTGCAAAGTATTAGTAAATGTTGTAACGTTGTCAGATTGTCGTTGGTTGTATTACAATAGTTTTTGTAGTGATCAGAAAAGATATATGCCATACTGACGTCATTTAAGCTTAAAGAAATCACAGTTTGGCAATGTCGCATTGTCTAATGTCTCAATAATGTCTACCAATAAATATAAATAAGAGGACATTCATGTTGCCTCAACATAATGCAAATCTGCAAAAAGCACCTCCAGATGCGTCATTACCAGGTAACATCAATTTTGTAAAACATACAATTTCTCTGCACTGGTTCTACCAATGAAATTCGCTATAGTACATTGAAGAATGACGTTAAATTCAAGGATAATATTCTAAATACAAACTACTAGAGGTCTTGTTTTTGGTAATGGCTGCCATATTGGTGTGTTACTATTTCCGACGTTATTACTAAATCGTTAGCTGTTTAAACAGTCTACGTCAAGCAGCGGCGGATTTAGGATTCCTTCTAGGGGGGGGCGATCCATCAGGGCCTCGGGCTCAGATAAGAAATAATAAAAAAACGACTTAAATATACAGAGTGGCAAAAAAGTCGCGCATAATACCTGTAACTTTCTAATTACCTCGTATACGAAAAAGTGACCTTAATGAAAGTTGCTCAGTAAATTAGGGACATAAAGCTTCCGTATTTTTTGCTCGGTATCCGTATCGGTATCGTACTGCGCATGTGCAGAAGCGATACGGAGGCCGAGATACCGTACGTACAACGTAACGTTACGGCCCTCTCGCGGTATCCGTATCGGTAACGTATCTTGACATTCCTGACGCATGTGTCAAATTTCAAATGAATATAACCTCCCTTTTCTTCCGGGTTGATTTAATTTGTTTAGTTTATACTTTCTTGTGTGTTTAGTGCTTCTCTATCGCAAAAAAAATAACAATTTTAAGATTAGATATAAAAACGCCGAAGTTTTGAGACAAAAATGTCTAGGTTATGAAATGCGTTTACGTTTACCGGAACAGGGAGCGCTTTAACAGCCTTTTCGCTTGTCAACGTATCTAGTTGCGTTACGGCTACCGATACCGATGAATTATTTCAAGTAGCTTTATGTCCCTAATATTTCCCACAATTCTACTTAAACGTATTGCCTGTGTCACTTCTGGTTTGTTTCCTATCTAGACCAACTTTCATTTTTTCAAATAAAACACCCTGTATGTGATTGCATATTTGGATTCTACGTAAAATTCTGAGCAGATTTCATGTGATATACCCTATACCTAAGTTCAACTGTTTTGGAAATATTGACAGTTGAACATTGACTTTTTGCAATTTTGACAGGCTGTAAAACCTGAACGGTTAATTTCAGAGGAAAACCGATTTCACATTCCTATCTTAGATTTTCATAAACTATCATTTGACATCAACATTTAATTTAATCGGAGATTAAATTTAATTGGAATTTTCAATTATAGATTAAATTCAAAGTTGGTGCGGATTTACGTCATCCGCAGTCGATTCGCTCCCAGCTCGCTGCTGCCAAACGTATTTAAAAGTATTAAACATTTGGAAAAATAGCGAAAACCATATGAAATTTCATGTTGGATAATGCTTGATGAATATGTTTGTGTTTTCGTTAAAAATTTCGTTGTTGCGTCGCTCAATAGGGGGGGGGCGCGCGCCCCCCGCGCCCCCCCCCCTAAATCCGCCACTGACGTCAAGGAGAGATATATTATGTTGTTTACGTCACAACTGGTTATTTGGCGTATTAAATTTGTGTCCGTATGATAGACTATTCTGTAGTAGTAATGGTGTATTATCCTTGCGCCAAACTATCATACATAACCTCACTTGTATTTTCTGCTAACTTCATTTTTGTTGTTTATTTATTTGAAAACCAATGAATTTTCAAATTATTTGAAAATGCTTTTAACCCGTTTATTAAGGAACCGCTCATCTTATTTAGGTAACAGTTACTATTTAAAGCTAAATCGCTATACAAATACAGCAGCAAACTACCAATTCAATGTACAGATAAACAACAAAAACTTGAACAATTATATTGAAAAATTGCAACAAGAATACACTGAAATAATTCAGCAGCCAAACTATATAATAAATCAACGTGTAAATGAGTTGCAACCTCTAATAAACCTACTTAATGAGCGTAAAGCTATTGTTTCAAATATCTCAAGTCTCACAGAGTTACTTGACTCAAACGACAAAGAAATGATGGAGTTGGCAAAACAAGAAAAACTTGAGCTGGAAAGCAAACTTCAGTCTATTGATGACAACTTAGTTGAGGCAATATTGCCCAACGAAACCCAAGACTCCTTTAATTCAATTGTATTAGAAATCAAATCGGGAGTTGGTGGACAAGAGGCCATGTTATTCGCCCAAGAAATCTACAACTTGTATTGCACTTTTATTGCAAATAAAGGTAAAAATTTTCACATTATTACTACAGGAAAATCACCAGTTGTGACGTAGGTAGCATATTATTTTTCGTCTTGATGTTCACACAGCTGTTAATGACGTCATCAATGGTGATTCATCAATATGGCGGTTGTGCGTCATCCTTGAAAAATCCTCACAATAATCCATACAAGAAAATTTCAGGTTGGCAATACGAAATAGCAGAATACCTGACAACAGACCTAGGAGGCTTGAGACACGCTTCAATTTTAATCGAAGGCCCTCAAGCATTCAAATATTTCAAACACGAAGCAGGGGTGCACCGAGTGCAACGGATACCCTCAACTGAAAAAAGCGGCAGGATTCATACCAGCACGGTATCAGTATTGGCATTACCACAACCAAGCGAAATCGATATTCAAATCGATCCAAAAGATTTAAAAATCGAGACAAAAAGGTAATTGTCAAATTGTCGATAATGTAGATTGCTATTGATAAATTCTAGATCAACTGGTGCAGGAGGTCAGCACGTGAACACAACAGACTCGGCAGTCCGAATAGTTCACTTGCCTACAAACATCGCTGTGGAGTGTCAAGTTGACAGATCTCAAATTAAAAATAGAAAACTGGCGCTGGCCAGGCTCAGAGCGATGCTTTACCAAAAAGAGTTGGACCAGCAAATTGCCGCAATAGCAGCCAAAAGAAAAAGCCAAGTCAGATCCAATGACCGAAACGAAAAGATTCGTACTTATAATTATAATCAGGATAGAATTACGGATCACAGGTTGCACGGAGTGCATTATCACAATTTGAAGGGGTTTATGGTCAATGGAGTGGATTTGGAGAAGTTAATTGAACAGTTGGACAAGCAGTTCAAAGTGGATAGATTAATGGAGCTGGTTGAAAATAGTTAAGAGTTTATAAAATCTTGAAATATAATAAAAATTGAAATGTTTCTGCACTGTACTAGCAGCCCTGATTGCACTCAATTTACAGATTTCTGTAATAATTTAATAAAAGTTTTTCAATGGAACGTAGCGTTTTCATTCAGCCGCTCCGAGATTTTGCACTAAAGGGGCAATTGTCAAAATCATATGATTTTTATTTATTTGTTTTTGTTTATGGGATATCCATTAGCCAATTATTTACAGAAATTTTAAATGACAAATACGGAAGACCCAGTGTTAATTTAATATTTAAGTAAGGACTACCTGTAAGTAGTTGTTTTGTTTGAATAATAATTAGAAATCTATTGTGTTGAAAGATAATGATAAACAATACTATCAGCAAAAAATATTAAATAGATAAGAAATCATTTCCAGTTGTAAGTTCAGCATGACCGAAACAAATAGAATTTGTCCGGTCCTAAAACACCCGGACCAATACACGCCGGACACTCAAGATTTACTAATAAACAAAGTGGCCAGGGACTATTGGCTGTCCACTCTAGAAAGGACAGTCGCCAGGTTCGTGGACAGAGCGGGAGCCCTGAATCCGGACAACCCCAAGGCCACCGAGCACGCCAACTTGTGCTTGGAACAGTTTCACAGTTTGGTGGAAAAAAGCCGGATCGATCCCAGGTAAATACTTATTTTCCATTAACAAGTTTAAGCAACTTACCATTTACCAAACGCTAGTAACTTGCCTACTTTTTGAATATTATCTAGTTACCTGTAATATGAATTTGAAAAAAACTCATCGCCATCTTGAATGTGTTTGACAGGTGCGTCAATAGATGGCGCTAGCAAAATAATTATAAAAGTTGTAATACCCACCCTAATGCCAGGAATGGTACATATTACTACTTGAAGCTACTGTGTGTAACAAATCCCCCACATGCCAAAATACCAGTTGTGACGTAGGCATCATGTTATATTTCTCGACTTGATGTAGGTAGGCTATTTAAACAGGAGACGACTTAGTTATGACGTCAGCTCCTTGATCAATACCTTTAATTTTCATTCAGATATTTATGATAAACCAATGACACTTTTGACATTTTGTGACAATTGTTATAATTCACCACGAAATTTTTTTTTTTTAAATTTTGAAGCATTTGTTAACATCTACAACGATAATAAATTTTGAAATTTTGAGGCGTTTATCATTATCCACTACTGAAAAATTTTGGACGTTTGTTAATATTCACCACCATAATAAATCTTTAAAAATTGACACCTATGAATTTGAGGCGCTTCCTAACATTTACCGCACAATTAAAAAAAAAATGTGCATGTGGCGCCCCTCCCATGAAAACCGTTAATTTTTTTTTAGACATTTATGACAGACCAATGACACTTTTGACATTTTGAGGCAATTGTTATAATTTACCAGGCATTTTTTTTTTATTTGAAGCATTTCTTAACATCTATAACGATAATAAATTTTGAAATTTTGAGGCATTTATCATTATCCACCACTGAAAAATTTTGGACGTTTGTTAATATTCACCACAATAAATAAATCTTTAAAAATTGACACATGATAATTTGAGGCGCTTCCTAACATTCACCGCACAATTTTAAAAAAAATGTATATGTGGCGCCTCTCCCATAAAACCCATCAAAACCGTTAATTTTTCTTTTAGACATTTATGACAGACCAATGACACTTTTGACATTTCGAGGCAATTGTTATGATTCAGCACAAAATTTTTTTCTGAAATTTTAAAGCATTTGTTAACATCTACCATGATAATAAATTTTTGAGGCGTTTGTTAATATTCACCACGATAATTTTTGTTTACCATTTCGAGACATTTGTTAACTAAAGCCAATTTTAAGCGATTGACCAATCGGTTATTACAGATAAGCAATGCACTTTAGCCAAATGAAATTGTAGCAACACACTTTGTAGCAACGCGATTTTTTTCTATATGCGGCATTTGTAGCAACACACTTTATAACAACAGTCCGCAGCAACATTAATGAAATTGTAGCAACACTTTGTAACAACACGATTTTTTTCTACTTGTGGTATTTATTTGACACTTCATAGCATCACAGTTTGTAGCAACATTTAAAATAAAATAAAATGAAATGAAATTGTAGCAACACATTTTGTGGCAACAGGCTTCATTTTTGTAGCAACATGATTTTTTTTATATATGTGGAATTTGTAGCAATAAATTTTTGACTTGGTAGCAACACGCTTTGTGCCTTCCAATAAATTCGGTTTGTTGCTACAAAAACCGGAAATATTTTTGGTGTTTTTGTAGCAACACGAATTTTGAATTTATTTTTTGTAGCAACACAATTTTCGAGTTTATTTCTCTGTAGCAACACGAAATTCAAATGTAGCAACATCTAAATTTGTTGCTACAAACTTTTGATACCTATCGAAATATTTGAATTCGTGTTGCTACAAAAAATATTCGGTAGCAACACGAAATTCAGTTGTAGCAACAAGGAAATTTGATGCTACAAACTTGAATATTTAAAGTCGTTTTACTGCTTTTTTTTTTGGTAGCAACATCGAATTTGTTGTTACATCACTACAATTTGTTGCTACAAACCTCATATATAGAAAAAAGAATTGATAACAATTCGTGTTGCTACAGAAAAATCGCATTTTCGTTCATGTTGCTACAATAATAAAATGTGATGCTATAAAATATTGCTATCACGTGTTGCTATAAAAAACATCAAAATTTGCATTTCTATCCGTATTACTTCAAAAATAAACAGTGTTGCTACAAACACGTGTAGCTACATAATGTTGCTACAAACACGTGTAACTACATAGTGTTACTACAAACGCCGCATATAAAAGAAAAAATTGATAAAAATTCGTGTTGCTACAAAAACATTGCATTTCCGTTCATGTTGCTAATAAAATAGAACGTGTTGCTACAAAGTATAGCTATTACGTATTAATAATGAAATTGTAACAACACGATTTTTTTCTACGTGCGGTATTTATTTCACACTTCATAGCAACACAGTTTGTAGCAACATTTAAAAAAAGGAAATTGTAGCAACACATTTTGTGGCAACAGGCTTCATTTTTGTAGCAACATGAATTTTTTGTAATTTTTTTTTTATGTGGGGTTTGTAGCAATAAATTGTAGCAACATTTGATACAAATAAATTGTAACAAGACTTGGTAGCAACACGCTTTGTGCCTTCCAATAAATTCGGTTTGTTGCTACAACGGCCGGAAATATTTTTGGTGTGTTTTGTAGCAACACGAATTCTGAATTCATTTTTGGTAGCAACATGAATTTGAATGTTTCCAAAATTTTGTAGCAACAAATTTACATGTCGTTCCTATTTGATTAAGTGTTGTTAACGAATAATTTTTTTTCTTGTAGCAACACGAAATTGCATATTTCTCATGGTATAGCGATAAATTTGGATGTTGTCACAATTATTAAACTTCGTGTTGCTACCGAATGAATTCGTTTTGCGGCAATACGATTTTTTTTGTGGCAACACGAATGTGGTATTAAAGGTTTGTAGCAGTAAATTGGGTGTTGCTACCAAATAATATTTTTCGTAGCAACACAATTTTCGAGTTTATTTCTCTGTAGCAACACGAAATTCAAATGTAGCAACATCTAAATTTGTTGCTACAAACTTTTGATACCTATCGAAATATTTGAATTCGTGTTGCTACAAAAAATATTCGGTAGCAACACGAAATTCAGTTGTAGCAACAAGGAAATTTGATGCTACAAACTTGAATATTTAAAGTCGTTTTACTGCTTTTTTTTTTGGTAGCAACATCGAATTTGTTGTTACATCACTACAATTTGTTGCTACAAACCTCATATATAGAAAAAAGAATTGATAAGAATTCGTGTTGCTACAGAAAAATCGCATTTTCGTTCATGTTGCTACAATAATAAAATGTGATGCTATAAAATATTGCTATCACGTGTTGCTATAAAAAACATCAAAATTTGCATTTCTATCCGTATTACTACAAAAATAAACAGTGTTGCTACAAACACGTGTAGCTACATAGTGCTGCAACAAACGCCGCATATAGAAGAAAAAATTGATAAAAATTCGTGTTGCTACAGAAACATTGCATTTCCGTTCATGTTGCTTATAAAATAAAACGTGTTGCTACAAAGTATAGCTATTACGTGTTAATAATGAAATTGTAGCAACACACTTTGTAGCAACACGATTTTATTTTCTACATGCGGCATTTGTTTCACACTTCATAGCAATACAATTTGTAGCAACATTTAAAAAAATTGAAAAAAATGAAATTGTAGCAACATATTTTGTAGCAACAAGCTTCATTTTTGTAACAACATGAATTTTCATTTTATTTTTTTTAATTTGTGGGGTTTGTAGCAATAAATTGTAGCAACATTTGATACAAATAAATTATAACAAGACTTGGTAGCAACACGCTTTGTGCCTTCCAATAAATTCGGTTTGTTGCTACAACGGCCGGAAATATTTTGGTGTGTTTTGTAGCAACACGAATTTTGAATTTATTTTTTGTAGCAACACAATTTTCGAGTTTTTTTCTCTGTAGCAACACGAAATTCAAATGTAGCAACATCTAAATTTGTTGCTACAAACTTTTGACACCTATCGAAATATTTGAATTCGTGTTGCTACAAAAAATATTCGGTAGCAACACGAAATTCAGTTGTAGCAACAAGGAAATTTGTTGCTACAAACTTTTTAATATTTAAATTCATGTTTCTACATGACTACAATTTGTTGCTACAAACGTCGTATATAGAAGAAAATTAATAAAAATTCGTGTTGCTACAGAAAAAATTGCATTTTTGTTCATGTTGCTACAAAAATAAAACGTAATGCTACAAAATATTGCTATCACGTGTTGCTATAAAAAACATTAAAATTTGCATTTTTGTCCGTGTTACTACAAAAATAAACAGTGTTGCTACAGAAACATTGCATTTCCGTTTATGTTGCTAATAAAATAAAACGTGTTGCTACAAAGTATAGCTATTACGCGTTGCTACATAAATTTCGAGTTTATTTTACTGTAGCAGCGCGAAATGTGACACGCCCCTTGAAAACAGACCAATCGAAATCTTTAAATATTGACACGTTAATTTGAGGCGCTTCCTAACATTCACCGCACAATTTAAAAAAAAATGTATAATGTGACGCCTCTCCCATAAAACCCATCAAAACCGTTAATTTTTTTTTTTAGACATTTGTGACACTTTTGACATTTTGAGGCAAATGTTATGATTCACCACAAAATTTTTTTCTGATACTTTGAAGCATTTGTTAACATCTACCATGGTAATAAATTTTGAGGCGTTTGTTAATATTCACCACTGAAAAATTTTGGACGTTTGTTAATATTCACCACGATAATTTTTGTTTACCATTATGAGCTATTTGTTAACTACATTCACTACGATGAAAATTAATTGACATTTTGAGGCGTTTATTAACATTCACCACAAAATAAATAAATTGCCATTTCAGGGCGTTTGCCAACATTCACCACTCCTGACAAACATAACAAATTCCTGGAATCAATACAATTGACAATTGTCGATTCTGATGGCTTGTCACTTGTCAATTTCCATTTGTTTTAGAATCCTGAATCCGTTAAGCGTGCGCACGCTGCTCGATTTCCACGAAGAAAATCTGCGCGTCCACTTTATCGATGCGTGGAAACTACAAAAAGAGACTGAAACCACCCAAGCCCTAATGACATTTGGTCATCGAATAAAAGAAATCGACTCAATAGCTGATTTCGATAAAAAATGGCTGGAAATTGTTAAAGGTTTACTAGCCGGAAATGTATTTGATTGGGGCTCGCAGCTATTTTCGGAAATTCTAGAAACTTCGCCTGCTTTTGGGTTGGACCACGCCCTACAGCGCATTGAAAGTAGGCCATGGTTCATTGATGACGTCGACTTATGGATCCGCCGGTTGGCTTTCGCCAGGTTTAAAAGCGCTGTTGTCTTTGTTGACAACGCAGGCGTCGATTTTGTTTTAGGTATCCTGCCATTTGTCAGAGAGCTGCTGTCAATGGGCACTCGCGTCATCGTAACTGCCAACTCGTATCCGTCACTCAACGATGTGACATTTGACGAGTTGAATTTGTATTGTTGCAAGGCGGCGCAACAGTGTCATATTTTGAAGGAGGCCATTGCAACGGGGCAATTGCTCACTGCTGCCAACGGACAAAAAGGACCTTGTTTGGATCTTAAAAATATACCTGCAGGTAAGATTCTGTACTATTTAATTTGGGTCCCATCATGAGAAATATTTTTGAAGTGAAACTGTTTTTTGAAATTTTTAACTTTTTATGGAATTTTTGATGTTTTTAGTGTTTTTTGTTTTTTGAATTTTCTGGAATTTTTCGGAATTTTTTGAAATTTGGTGTTTCTACTGCTTTTTGGAATTTTTTGTTTTTTTTTTTTGGAATCTTTTGGAATTTTTTGAAATTTTGTGTTTACTGCTCTTTGAAATTTTTGGTTTTTTTTGGAATTTTTCGGAATTTTTTGGAATTTGGTGTTTATTGGAAATCCCTGGAATTTTTTAAAATTTGGCGTTTTTTAGATTTTTTTGCCTTTTTTTGGAACTTTTTGAAATTGGGTGTTTTTATTGTTTTTTGAAATTTTTTGGCATTTTTTGAAATTTTTTATTTTTTTTTGAAAATCACAAAATTCATAAAAGTTCATAAAAATCAGAAACTTCCAAAAATTACAAAATCGATTTTTTTTAAAATTTTTCAGAATATTTTGACATTTGATATTTTTGTTGGATTTTTTTTTGGAATTCTTTGAAATCTGGTGTTTTTTACTGCTTTTTAGAATTTTTGGTGTTTTTTTAAAATTTTATTACGGTTTTCTGGAATTTTTTGTTTTTTTTGGAATCTTCTGGAATTTTTCGGAATTTACTGTTTTTACTGCTTTTTGGATTTTTATAGAATTTTTCGAAATTTTTTGGAACATAGTGTTTTTTGGAATTTTTCAATACTTTTTGGAAATTTTTGTTTTTTTCTTGGAATTTTTCGGAATTTTTTTAGAATCTTTCGGTTTTTTAAAATTGTCTGAAATTTTTAGAAATTTCGTGTTTTTACTGCTTTTGAAGTTTTTTGTTTTTTTGGAATTTTTCGAAATTTCTCGAAATTTTTTGAAATTGCAGTTTTGGATTTTTTTGGCATATTTTGGTATTTCTTGAAATTTGCTGTTTTTTGGAATTTTTTGGTTTTTTTAGAATTTTCTGGAATTTTTCGAAATTATTTGAAATTTGATGTTTTTTAGAATTTTTTGAAATTTAATGTTTATTGATTTTTTTTTTGGCATTTTTTGGTAATTCTTGAAATTTACTGTTTTTACTGTTTTCTGGAATTTTATGGTTTTTTTAAAATTTTCTGGAATTTTTCGGAATATTTTAGAATTTGGTGTTTTTACTGCTTTTTGGAATTTTTTGTTTTTTCACAAATTTTTTGGAATTTTTCGAAATTTTTTGAAATTTGGTATTTTTAATTGTTTTTTGGAATTTTTTATTTTTTTAAATTTTTTGGAATTTTTCGATATTTTTGCAATTTGGTGTTTTTAGTGCGTTTTGCAATTTTTTATTTCTTTTGAAATTTATCGACATTTTTTGGAATATTCTGGAATTTTATGGATTTTTTTATAATCATTTGGAATTTTTTGAAATTTGGTGTTGTTTGAAATTTTTTGTAATTTAGTGTTTTTTGAAATTTTTTGGCATGTTTTAGAATTCTTTGAAATTTGGTGTTTTTTTAGATTTGTTGGGCATTTTTTGGTACTTCTTGAAATTTGGTCTTTTCACTGCTTTTTGGAATTTTTCAGAATTTCCTGTGTTTTTTGAAATTTTTTGGCATTTTTAAAAAAATCAAAATATTTTGGAATTTGGTGTTTTTACTACTGTAACTTTTTTTTTTTTTTTTTTTGGAATTTTTAGGAATTTGGTGTTTTTTGAAATTTTTTGACATTTTTTTTTTCGGATTTTTTTGACATTTGATGTTTTTTAGTTTTTTTGGAAATTTTCGGGATTTTTTAAAATTTGATGTTTTTACTGCTTTTTGGAATTTTTTCAAATTTCTTGAATTTTTTATATTTTTTTTCGGAATTTCCTGAAATTGCCGTTTTTTGACATTTTTTGTAATTTGGTGTTATACAACTTTCTGGAATTTTTCGTTTTTTTTGAAATTTTTTCGAATTTTTTCGTTTTTTTGGAGTTTTCTGGAATTTTTCGTATTTTTTTTAAATTTGTTATTTTTAATACTTTTTGTATTTTTTGGAATTTTTTGAAATTTGGTGTTTATTGGATTTTTTTGGCGTTTTTTGGTATTTCTTGAAATTTATTGTTTATACTGTTTTTTAGAATTTTTTGGTGTTTTTAAATTTTTCTGGAATTTTTTTTGGTGTTTTACTGCTTTTTGAAATTTTTCGTAATTTTTTGAATTTTCTGGAATTTTTCGTAATTTTTTGAAATTTGATATTTTTTGGATTTTTTTGACATTTTTTGGCATTTCTTGAAATTTACTGTTTTTTGGAATTTTTTGATTGTTTTGAAATTTTCTGGAATTTTTCGAAATTTGGTATTTTTTGAATTTTTTTGGCATTTTTCGGTATTTTTTGAAATTTGCTGCTCTTACCATTTTTTGAATTTTTTTGTTTTTTTTTTGGAATATACTGAAATTTTTTGGAATTTGGTGTTTTTTCTGCTTTTTGAAATTTTTTGTTTTTTTCGGGATCTTTCGAAATTTTTGAAATTTTCTGGAATTTTTCGTAATTTACTAAAATTTGGTGTTTTTTGCATTTTTCTGGCATTTTTTGATATTTCTTGAAATTTACTGTTTTTTTTTGTGTTTTTGGAATTCCCTGGAATTTTTCGGAATTTTTTGGAATTTGGTGTTTTTACTACGTTTTGGAATTTTTTGATTTTTCGGAATTTTCTGGAATTTTATGAAAATTTTTGGAATATGGTGTTTATTGGAAATCCTTGGAATTTTTTAAAATTTGTTTTTTGGATTTTTTTGCCTTTTTCTGGAACTTTTTGTAATTTGGGGTTTTTACAACTTTTTGGATTTTTTCGTTTTTTTTGAAATTTTTTCGAATTTTTTCGTTTTTTTGTAATTTTTTGAAATTTGGTATTTTTACCACTTCTTGGAAATTTTTGTTTTTTTTATAATTTTTCGAAATTTGACTTTTTTTGGATTTTTTTTTTGCATTTTTTGGTATTCTTGAAATTTGCTGTTTCCTGTTTTTTTTTGAATATTTCTGGAATTTGCTGTTTTTACTGCTTTTTGGAAATTTCTGTTTTTTTTGAAATTTTTCAGAATTTTTTAGTTTTTTTAGAATTTATTGGAATTTTTCGGATTTTTTTGAAATTTGGTGTTTTTACTGTTTTTTGTTTTTTTTTTAGAAATTTTCTTGAAATTTGGTATTTTTAGATTTTTTTGACATTTTTTGGTATTTCTTGAAATTTTTCGAAATATTTTAGAATTTGGTGTTTTTACAGTTTTTTGGAATTTTTCGAAATTTTTTAAAATTTGGTATTTTTACTGTTTTTTGAATTTTTTTTAAAATTTGGTGTTTTTTGAATTTTTTGGAATTTTTTGGAATTTCTGAAATTTTGTGAAATTTGGTGTTTGAAATTTTTTGTAATTTTTCGGAATTTTTTGGAATTCGATGATTTTTGGAATTTTTTGAATATTTCAAAAAAAAAATCCGGAAAATTTCAAAATATTCCAAAAAAAAATTCCAATTCCAAATTTCAAAAAATTTCAAAAAACACCAAATTTGAAAAAAAATCGAAAAATTAAAAAAAAAACAGAAAATTCCAAAAAGCAGTGAAAACAGTGAATTCCAAAAAATACCAAATTTCAAATAATTACGATTTCACACCAAATTATAAAAAGTTCCAGAAAAAGGCAAAAAAATCCAAAAAACACCAAATTCCAAAAAATTCCGAAAAATTCCAGGAAATTCCAAAAAAAAACAAAAAACAAGTAAATTTCAAGAAATATCAAAAAATGCCAGAAAAATGCAAAAAACACCAAATTTTAGAAAATTACGAAAAATTTCAGAAAATTTCAAAAATTTCGAAAAACTCCGAAAAAAACAAAAAATTTCAAAAAGCAGTAAAAACACCAAATTTCAAAAAATTTCAAAAAAATTCAAAAAAATTTCAGAAAACTCCAAAAAAACAAAAAAATTCAAAAAATGGTAAGAGCAGCAAATTTCAAAAAATACCAAAAAATGCCAAAAAAATTCAAAAAATAACAAATTTCCATAAATTCCAGAAAATTCCAAAAAAATCAAAAAATTCCAAAAAACAGTAAATTTCAAGAAATGCCAAAAAATGTCAAAAAAATCCAAAAAATATCAAATTTCAAAAAATTACGAAAAATTCCAAAAAGCAGTAAACACCAAAAAAAATGCCAGAAAAATTTAAAAACACCAAAAAATTCTAAAAAACAGTAAAAACAATAAATTTCAAGAAATACCAAAAAACGCCAAAAAAATCCTATAAACACCAAATTTCAAAAAATTCCAAAAAAACGAAAAAATTCGAAAAAATTTCAAAAAAAACGAAAAATTCCAGAAAGTTGTATAGCACCAAATTACAAAAAAATTCCAAAAAAAACTAAAAAATTTCAAAAAACAGTAAAAATAGTAAATTTTAAGGAATACCAAAAAATGTCAAAAAACGGCGATTTCAGGAAATTCCGAAAAAAAAAAAAAAAATCAAGAAATTTGAAAAAATTCCAAAAAGCAGTAAAAACATCAAATTTTAAAAAATTCCGAAAATTTCCAAAAAAACCAAAAAGCATCAAATGCCAAAAAATCCAAAAAAAAAAATGTCAAAAAATTCAAAAAACACCAAATTCTAAAAATTCCAAAAAAAAAAAAAAAATTCAAAAAGTAGTAAAAACACCAAATTCCAAAATATTTTGAACTTTTTAAAAATGCCAAAAAATTTCAAAAAACACAAAAAAGTCTGAAAAATTCCAAAAAGCAGTGAAAACACCAAATTTCAAGAAGTACCAAAAAATGCCAAACAAATCTAAAAAAACACCAAATTTCAAAAAATTCTAAAAAATGCCAAAAAATTTCAAAAAACATTGAATTCCAAAAAAATTCCGAAAAATTTCAAAAAACACCAAATTCCAAAAAGCAGTAAAAATACTGAATTTCAAAAAATTCCGAAAAATTCTGGAAGATTCTAGAAAAAACAAAAAATTCCAAAAAATGCAAAAATATATTCAAAAAATACAAAAATAAAACAAAAAACATTAAATTTCAAGAAGTATCGAAAAATGCCAAAAAAATAAGAAAAACACCAAATTTCCAAAAATGGTAAAAAATCCAAAAAACATCAAATTTTAAAAAAATGCCAAAAAATCCAAAAAACAGTAAAAACAACAAATTTTTAAAAAAATTTAAAAATTCCGAAAACTTCCTAGAAAATATCAAGAAATGCCAAAAAAATTTCAAAAAACACCAAACTCCAAAAAATTTCGAAAAATTTCAAAAATTGCCAAGAAATTCCAAAAACTGTTTGGAATAATTTTGGAATTTTTCGAAATTTTTTGGAGTTTATTGTTTTTTCGAACTTTTTGGGATTTTTTGGAATTTCCTCAAGAAATATTAAGAAAATTTAAAAAATGTTAAAAAATACGAAATAACACTGAATTACAAAAAAAAATCAAATTTTTGAGTGTTTTGGGATATATTGGAATTTTTTGGCATTGGAATATTTGGATGACAATGGAGAGTGATTTGAAAAATGTGTCACGGGCAAATTTCATTACTCGTGAAAAAAAAAGATAAAACGTAAAGAGACGGAGAAAGATAGCTATTGATTGACACAAATCAAAAATCAAGAATAAGCGCAAAAACGATTGTTGAGTGAGTGCTGATATGTTGACGTCATTTTCTTTCGTCTTTACCTCAACTCATATGTTAAGTTTTATGAAAGAGGGATAGTTTTTAAGAAGTTTCCCTTATATCACTTATTTTTTCAGAACTATGCGATTTGATGGCAGAATCAGACCTGATAGTACTAGAAGGCATGGGCCGTTCCGTTCACACCAATCTGCATACGGAATTTCTAGTGGATTGTCTCAAAACGGCCGTTATCAAAAACGATTTTTTGGCCAAAAGTTTGGGCGCCAGCAGTCAATTTAGTGTAGTTTTTAAATATGAACCTTCGTCGACGTAGAGTCAAAATTATTTTTTTTAAATTAGTACCTGATGATGCAGAGTTCTTAACTTGGAATTAATGGAAAAAAAAGAGGATTGTGATTGGTTCCAAGCGAGTTCTTGTTGGATAATATATTATGTATATAGAAATATTTATGGTTTTATTTTAAAAAAAAAAAGTTGCGTGCAGCACAGTACACGTGATAGAAGTGAATACTTACTCTCTCTTCCTCATATTCATCACATGCTTTATCTCACTTATAAATCGTGTCGTGACGCAACCTTGAAAAATCACTCTCGTGCGGCCAAAGAAGTATTCACTTTAACAATTATTCAAAATCTTTACCTATTTTACAAATGTAACTCGAATTCCTACCGGAATCAGGAAAACATGTTTCGGGGCCCTCAAAAATTACTCCAGAAGGCCCCCAGAACTAGAAAATCTCTTTTTGGTTGGAAGATGTTTTTTTTTTGCAAAAGTACAAAGTCCAAATTCATATTTTACCTTTGCTGGATTATTTTATTAATTAAAAGGCACTTTTTTGCTTTTGTTTATCTGGAAAAATGGAAAATTTATATAAATAAACAAAATATAAATATAAACAATAAAGTGAGGTTATGTTGACTCTGCTAATTGA